CCTTTCAGTGGCCGCCCTGGAGGCCTTGGTATCGAAGATGGGCCTCCCTCTGCAGGATGAATGGGGCTGCGGCCGCCTCGGCTGACGCTCGCCCGGGCTCGCGGGCTCGCGGAGGCTGGCGGTCGTGCGCGTCGGCTTGTCCATTGATCATGCCGTTGGCCAGGTGGGGCAGCGAGTTCTTCAGGCGCTGCGCTGTCGAAGCCCCGCAGCGGGCGCGCGCGGCCGATTCCATGCGCAGATGGGCGCCGCTGCCGCGCGTTGGCCTGGGGGCTTCCCCGGCCGCGGCGTCGTCCGTCAAGAGGGCCTCGCTTGAGGCCTGGCTGAAGGCCTTGTGGCGTAAGAGAAGGGCTATGTCGAGCAGGTGGCGGAGCTCGAGACGATCGCGGCGAAATGCGCCGAGTTGGGCGCGGTGCTCAGTTGGCCTGCGCTCGTGCTCAACGAGGCCTCGGACTGCTATCGTGTCAGCGGCCAGCGTGGCAGACTCCCGAGGATAGGAGATGTCACCCGCGCGCCCTGCCGCTGGCGTCTCGGTTCTGAGATCTGTGATTTCGTCGATGTGATGCCCGGCGACGTTGAGGCTAGCCGCGTATGTCCCCGATGCCTTCAAGGCTGCGCCGGGAACGCCTGGCCGAGAGAGCCCCCCCGCCCTCCGTCAACAGTTGCGAGTCTTAGTGAGTTGAGTGCGTCCGCATTCCGATGCGGCGCGCAGGCTGGCGCGCGCGGGCTCGCAGTTGAGCGCGCCTGGAAAGCGGTCGCCTTGCGGGGGGGGGTGGGGGGTGGGGGGCCTCCGTCATTTCCGTTCGCGACTGCGAGATGCGCAGCGGCATTTGGGAGACTTGTTGCCGCTGCATCGTTGCATCGCCCATCTCGGTCGAGGGCGGGGTGGGGCAGAGCGCCCCGCGGGATTGTGGGCGTGAGCACGGAGTGCGATAACGTCGGTCGCCGGGTGCAAGTGCGCGGGTTGGGCTGGGTGGCGTGGCTTGTGCCGTGCGTGGAAATTCTGGTGCGAGCTAGCGTTCTGCTCTTCCCGCCCGCCCATCCTGCAATTGCCGCGGGGCGCGCGTCCGCGTTCCGATGCGGCGCGCAGGCGGACGCGCGCCGGCTCGCGGTTGAGCGCGCTTGGAAAGCGGTCGCCTTGCGGGGAGGGGCGTCCGTCTTTCTCAGTCGCGATTTCGAGATGCGCAGCGGCATTTGGAGAAATAGCTTCCGTGTCATCGCCCATCTTGGTCGCGGGCGGGGGGGTAGGACTTTCCGCGCGATTGCGCGCGAAGATGGCGACAGACGGGCAGGCCGCGCCCAAGACGCGGAGCACCGGTGTGAGGTCGCCACTGAAGATCAACCAGTGCTCCACCTAAGCGGTGTTTTTGCGATCTCGAGGGCCGTTTTCGTTTCGATCTCGCTTTGCAGCAAAGGCGTAACGAAGACAAAACGAGGGACAACGAAAACGAAACGAACGCGGAAAGCACCGTTCAGGTTGAGCCCTGAGGTCGACTGCTGCCGCTGCGCTCCTGGGGCGCCCCGTAGCGCGCCGCCTTGCAGCGCGGCAGGTCACCGTTGCGTCCAAAGCAACCGCCCCCATTGCTTCCCTCCTCGCCCTGCATCCCCCTGCCTCCTCCTCTTTTCCCTTCCGCCTCCTGCTCTGCCCTCTTCCTCTTCCGCCCCCCTTCTCTTCTTCTTCTTCTTCTTCTTCCTCCTCCTCCTCCTCCTCCTGCTTCTCCTCCTCTTCCAGCACTTGTGCCACTGGGATCCCTCCCCAGGAAAACAGACGGGTAGCCTCCCGATCGTCACCCCAGGTGCTCCTTCGGGACCCTGGGGGAGAGATAAAAGGTAGTCGTGGGCCGTCCCAGCCTGCGCCACGGGGGAAGCGTCGTGCCTGGAACTTCGGGGCTGTTGCCGACTCGCCAGTGCGGCGGGCGGGGATAGTCCAGGGTCCCAATGCGCAGCCCTTCCTTCCGTGCTCCCGCGCTTGTGTTGTGGGTTTATGCCGCGTTTTGCTGCGACACCCTTGCGGTGGCCCACCTGGTGCTTCGCCAGGGTTCGGGCGGTGTCGCGGGTCCCCTTTGCGGGGGGGGGCTCATTGGAGTATCCCCGCCCATTCCCCCCGCGGTCGGGGCCCCCCGCCGTGGCGTGCGCGAGGGCGGGTTGCCCCCGAGGGGGTGGTGCCCCTCGGGTGGCTCATCGGGGCGGAGCGACCGAAAGCGGCGCGTCGCTACGTGAGGCTTCGAAATCGTGAGAACGCTTTTAGCTGCGCAGCGTTTTTTCTTTTTGTTTTTTTTTTTGTTTGCGCACGCTGGTCGTGCGCCTCGGCTCTAGACGCCTGCAACCCTCGTTTTGCGTGTCTCCGCGGTAAGCGTCGCCGCCTCCAGCCACAGAGTCTGGGCGAACCCGCGCGGACTCCAGCCGTGATAGGGCGATGGGGTGGTTCTTGACCCAATGAGTGCTCGAGCCGATTCTTGCTCTCACGGTTGGCCCATGGCGCCCTGATGCGGTCCGCCTCGTGGGTTGTTCCACTCCGCTCCTCCTCCTCCTCCTCCTCCTCCTCCATTTTCTTCCTTATCGATAATTCCTCACTGTCACCCTCCGAAGCCAGTCGACGGCGGGCCAGGCACATTGCCCGGGACCGCCTTGCCACTCTTGACCCTGATGCCAAACTTTTGGCAATGGTTTGATCGGGTCGTTTCCAGAATGTGGCTCTCGTCTTCGCGCTGCGCACATTCGTTTGAAATAGTTGCAGGAGCTTTGCGGATTGAGGGCGGGTCGTTTTCAGAGCGTGGCTCTCGCCCTAACGCCGCGCGCGCTCGCTTCAATCGTTTGCGAGAGTTTCATGGATTGAAGGCGTGTGGTTTTCAACGTGTGGCTTTCGCCTTAGCGCCGCGCGCGTCCGTTGTGTAACATCGGACGAGTTCCACGCATTGAGGTCGCGTCGTTTTCAAAATGTGGCTCTCGCTTCGGCGTCGCGCACATTCGTTTATAGAACATTTGGAAGAGTTTCGCGGATTAATGGGTGGCTTTCAAAATGTGGTTCTCGCCGAATCGCCGCGCACATTTTGTATGCACATTTGCAAGAGGTTTGCGGTTTGAGGGTGGTTCGTTTTCACAGTGTGGTTCTCGCTTCAACGCCGCGCATTGTTATATTGGAATTCCCACACGGGCTTCACGGATTGAGGGCGTATTTATATATATATATGTATATGTATATATATGAAATATGAAATATGGAATATGATATATGGTATATGATATATGATATACATATATATATACATATATATATATATGTACATATATATATATATATACACATATAATGTGGCGCTCGCCTTAGCGCCACGCGCATTCGTTTTAGACAGTAGCAGAGTTTTACATACTGAGGGTAGGTAGTTTTCAACATGTGGCTCTTGCTCCAGCGCCGCGCACATGCGGTTTACACATTTACAAGCGTTTCACTGGTTTTCAGAATTAACGTACCAGACATAGTGTTCTGCAGCGATTCAGGATTGTCAGGGCGCAGCCGTTACGTTGATTTGCGGTTTTGAAGTCCCAGGAATAGTGTTTTGGTGCGATTCAGGGTGGCCAAGATGCCTCCTCCATCCCCCCTGGTCTCCTGCATCCTCCGCCATGAAGGAAAGGGGGGTCCGGGGGGAAAAGGGCCCCTGACCGAGCAGCTTTCCCCAGGACCACTTCTTCGTCCTGGGGCGTTCCCCGACCGTTCCAGGGGCCCGTGGGTTGCGTTACGGGCCTGATGACGGGGACAAAAACCAGGGGCACATTGTTTCCTATTTCCTTCATGCTGCCTCCTGCCTCCCCTGGTTTCTTGCTATCCCCTCTGCCCTCTCCTGTCCCTCCTCCTCCTCGTCCTCCTTTTTCCCCTCCTGCCCTCCCGTTTCCCCCTCTCCCCAGCCCCAGCCCCCCCGACGTCGTGATTTTTCCCAACCATCCTGTGGTGGGGTCTCGTTTTGTCGCGTCTCTCTCCTCTCTCTCTCTCCTCTCCTCTCCTCTCCTCTCCTCTCCTCTCCTCTCCTCTCCCTCCTCCTCTCCTCTCCTCTCCTCTCCTCTCCTCTCCTCTCTCTCCTCTCCTCTCCTCCTCCTCTCCTCTCTCCCTCCTCCCTCCTCCCTCTCCCTTCTCCCTCCTCCCCCTCCCTCCTCCTCCTCCCTCCCCTCCTCCTCCCTCCTCCCTCCTCCCGTCACCCCACTCACTTTGGCACACCCCTCACACGGTTCGTGGCCCCATAGGGAGCTCCACCGAAGGCGCCCGTGGCCGCGTCCGCGTGCGTCCTCCCCGCCCACTGCATGCCCATTTCGGCACACCCCTCTCACGGGTCGTGGCCCCATAGCGAGCTCCACCGACGGTGCCAGTGGCCGCATGCGCCCTCACCGCTCACCGCACGTCCATCTCGGCACACCCCTCACACGGTTCTTGGCCCCATAGGGAGCTCCACCGAAGGCGACAGTGGCCGCGTCCGCATGCGCCCCCACCCCCACCGCCCACCGCATGCTCATCTCGGCATACCCCTCACACGGTTCTTGGCCCCATAGGGAGCTCCACCGAAGGCGACAGTGGCCGCGTCCGCATGCGCCCTCACCGCGCACCGCACGTCCATTTCGGCACACCCTTCACACGTTTCGTGGCCCCATAGGGAGGTCCAATGAAGGCTCCAGTGGCCGCGTCCGCATGCGCCCTCCGCGCTCGCCGCACGTCCATTTCCTCTTCCCGCTGCGGGCCGCCCATGCATCCACGGCTCGTGGTCTCATACGGAGGCCAGTCGAAAGATGGACCCAGAACGCGGTATCCACAATTGCTTATGGTTGGGTCCTTCGTCAGGATAATTTTCCAAGACGTCCAGACCAGCTTTTCATCCCGAGCCGTTTTTTGACGATCCTGGTTCCAGCGAGGGCCCCTTGAGGCCGAACGCAGCCAAAAGTCCAGCGTCGAGCATGTCCGGGTCGGCTTCCCCCAGGGCGCCCCGCCCCCCTGGCGCGCCCTCCCAGAGCGCCCCGAGGCTGCCTCCGGGCGCACGCGTGCGCGTGGCCGCCGTGGCCGACGGGGACGGCGGCGTGGCCGCCGTGCAGGAGAGCCCTCCGTCGAGGGGCCGCTCCGCCGTCGGCGTCGTCGCAGGCTGTCGCAGGTCATCGTCGTCGTCGTCGTCGTCGTGGTCGTTGTCGTTGGCGGCGTCGGCGGCGTCGTCGCCGTTGTCGTTGTCGTGGCCGTGGTTATCGTGAAGTGGTTGTCGCGGTCGTCTTGGTCGTGACCGACGGAGACGGCGGTTCGGCCGCCGTGCAGGAGTCCCCCCGTTGCGGGGGCGCCGGTCGTCGGCGCAGTCGCGGACTGTCGCAGATGAGCAGAAGGTCCCGGAGCCGCCTCCCGGGTTCTGTTTCTGTCTTTTGACTTCCTGGGAAGCTCTCGTCGCCACGTTTCGAAATTTTGGTCTAAACGAAACTTGGGAGAGGTCCAGGGAGACGCGGTATCGGTACGCCGGTCGTCGAATGTAGTTTTCTTGGATTCCCAGGTCCCAATCTGCATCTGCTAGTGCCTTCCTCTTTCAAGAATCGGCATGCCTATGCTGCGTATGGTTATTCTCTGGGAGGGCCTGAGCCCAATCTACTTTCTCCGCCTTCCTACTTCATTTTTAAAAAATGCTTCTTCCGACTGACCTGCTGCTGACACGCCAGGCCTGCGGGCAAGAATGGAGGTCTGGCACGCTGACGGGCTTCCACCGGCAGCACGTCGTGAATACTCTCGCGTTGTAGAAGTCGATTAATGGAGAGGAAGCATGCTGCCAAATAATTTCCAGATGTCTGAAAGAGCGTGTTCTACCGCTGCTGGCGGAAAACGGGGGGGGGTCACTACCGGTTCGAACCCCCCTCCCCCCCCCTCCGGAAAACCATGGGGGGTCACTACCGGTTCGAACCCCTCCCCCCCCCCTCCAGTCCATCATGAGAAGGAGGGGGGGTCACTACCGGTTCGAACCCCCCCCCCTCGAAAACCGGGGGGGGGTCACTACCGGTTCGAACCCCCCCCCCTCGAAAACCAGGGAGGGGTGCGGACAGTGGTGGGGACGGTGGTGGTGGGGACAGTGGTGTGGGGACAGTGGGAATGTGGCGGAAACAGTGGGACAGTGGAGGGTACAGCGGTGGTGGGGACAGTGGTGAAGGCGGTGGCGAGGACGGCGGTGGGACAATGGGACAGAGGTACAGTGGGGACAGTGGTGGGGACAGTGGGGACAGTGGTGGGAACAGTGGAACAGCTCAGTGGGACAGCGGAGGAGTCAGTGGGACATCGGGGACAGTGGGGATAGTCGGGCAGTGGTTGGGGCCGTGGAGAAAGTGGGGAGAGTGGAACCTTGGTGGGAACAGTGGTGGGGACAGTGGGGACAGTGCGACAGTGGTGGGGGCACTGGTGGGGACAGTAGGGACGGTGGTGGAACCAGTGGGGACACTGGTGCTGGGAACAACAGTGGGGGATGTGGTGCGGACTGCGGTAGGAACCACGAGTCGTTTGCTGGCGGTGAGGGGGGAGGGGGGGAGGGGTTCGAACCGGTAGTGACCCCCCTCCGGTTTTCGGGGGGGGGAGGGGTTCGAACCGGTAGTGACCCCCCCGGTTTTCGAGGGGGGGGGTAGGGGAGGGGGTGAGTTTTGCTGGGGGAGGGGAGGAAGGGGGGGGGGTCCAGCAGGGGGGGGGGATTCGGAGGGGGGGGGGGCACCCCCGGGTTCCGGAGGAAGAGGGGGGGGAATTTTTCACAGTAAAGTGGCGGTGGATCACGCTCTCTCAGATGTCTAAAACATGTGTTAAACAGCTTAAAAAACATGTTTGAAACATTTTTAGAACATGCTTTACACATTCAAAACACATCTTTAGTTCAATGATAGGATTGTTAGGGTGTCCATTGTCGTGGCATCCACAACTCTCGCGGGGCGCAAGACACGGGGGTCAATGCAAACCGGGGTCAGTCAGAGCGCCAGACCTTGCAGGATCCTGCAGGGCCAGGGTCGCGTTGGGCCCAGGCTCGGGTGCAGGATCCTGCAAGGCCTGACTGACCCGGGTTTGGATTGACCCGGGTCAGTAGATCCCCGACTCTCTCTCCCTCCCGAGTCGTCGGCGTCGGCGCCCCAGTTGTGATTGTCGTTGTCGGCGTCGGCGTCGGCGCCGTGGTCGTGGTCGTGATTGTCGCTGGTGCCTTCGGCGGCATCGTTGTCGTTGTGGTCGTTGTCGTCGTGGCCGTGGTCGTCGTCGTCGTCGGCGGCGGCGGCGGCGGCATCGTCGTCGTTGCCGTGGTCCTGATCTCGCCTCGGAGGTGCCGAGCCGGGGACGGAGCATGTGAGGGCGAAGACAGATAGCAGTTCTTGTCCACTTTGAACAGGGTCCGCTGTTGGTATGGCCGCGGACGTTGTCCATTTGGGACGAGCGCCGCCTGCCCAACCGCGGCCGCTGTCAGTTTGGATGACATCTGCTGGTGAACATCGCCCTCCAGACTTTCTGTCCCCATTCTGGGCGTGACGATTCGCCGTCATGGCCGTTACTCTTGCTGTTGACAATGGCAGGAGCGCTCAGCAGATCAACGCCCCACGGATCCAGACCAATGCCACATGGATCCTTCGTCCCTCCCTCCTTCGTCCTCCTAACACCCATCAGACGTCTTAAGAAGCAGCTCCAACTTTCGTGGACTCCAGACGTCGGGTAAGAAAACCAAGAGTCTGGACTGGACCCTGATCGTTGTCTAGGAGCTTCTTTTTTGGTTGCGCAGAATGTTAGTGCATCTGGTCCTGGACTACTGTTTAAGAACACGCTTCGAGCGAAATTCATTTTCTGAGCCTAGATTTTATAACCCCAAGCAGGCATGATTTTACCTCACCTCCCTCTCGTCTCCTCCTCCTCCAGCCTCCTCCACCACCACGAAGCCAAGCATCTGGCAGGACGCGTAGGCAGAAGAGAGCACAGTTGGCAATTCTTCGTAAGAAAGGAAATCATGTGCATGAGAGGCGCTGCAGAAAATTGTGTCGAGTGAACCCGCCAGGTGGAGGCAGGGAAGACAGAGGGATGGCATCACTCATTGGGTCTATTTATGCATTTTTTTTGCTCCAAAGCTGCCGCGGCCTACCGCGCCTCTGGTTGGAGATGAGAGTCTTCGGCGTCCCGTCGTTGTTGCAGAGCACGCGCCGCACGAGGGAGATGTTAGAACATGCAGCGATCTTGTTGTACAGTTTCACTTTTTTGATATCAATGTTTCCGAAAGTATCATTGTATCAGCTCGTGTAAAAAACCTCTTCCTTACTTATTTTCGAGAGATACGAGCACGGAGTGCCCAAGAGAGGCCTGACATATTTGGCATGGAAAGCGTCCAATCGCTGCGAGTCGGCTTTGACCAGCCATATATAATCCAAATGATACAAACGCTTGATCCGAACGCAGGCGTCGTATATTGAGTACTTGCGCCTCCACCCAAGTCAAGAGTGTGATCAAATTTCGGACAACGATTTGAATGCTCCAGTGGCTTTTCCTAGTCGGCGTGATAATTATGGTGATGCTTGTGCGTCGCATGTAAAAAGTACACCCATATATACTGCATCTCATACTTTATAAGATCCGCTCCATCCGGCCGGAATATACTTGAATTTGTGTTTATTTGCATGTGTAATGTCTTTTCCCATTTCAGCTCTAGACCATTTTTTGCGCCTGCGTTCACGATCGCGTTTAGCATGTTGTGGAGGTTGAGACTGCTCTGCGAGGCTGACACTGTGTCGTCTGCGTACACTATATCTCGAGTTGCGATGTGCTCCAGATCAGGGTCGTGCTGGATGTCGTTCGGTGCGTCGTGGAGCATCATTTTTTGCATTGCAATCAACAAACAAGGTGACAGGGGGCAGCCCTGAGCTATCCCAGCTCTCTGTTGTCTTTCTGTCGACTTCCCAGCGTGGTCCACAATATTGAATAGCAAGCGTAATAGATAGACCCAAGCATTGTCACCATCTTTGTTGGGAGTCCAAAAGGACGCAAGGCTTCACACATTCAAGTCGGCTTTAGTCGGTCGAAAGCTTTTGTCCAGGCCAGCATGAGTGAAACCATGCCGCCGTTGCTGTTGGAGCAGGCAGCATCAGTCATGCGTCTGATGAGCATCAAGGCATGTTGCGTGCTTCTCTTGGGTCTGACGCCGATCTGGGAGCCCTGCGTTCTTGACTCAGCATTTCCATCCAATGCCCTTTGGTGTAACATTGACGCCAACATTTTGCAACCCACTGCCTGCAGAGATATTGGCCGATAGTTTGCTGGCACAGCTGTGTCTTCCTTCTTGAACGAATCTGGAATTGATTTTTCTGCCCAGCATTGCTTGCATATTGAAAGCTGTTTTTCGCACGCGTCCGGACAAGATGAAACGACTTTCCAGATGTTTGGCGGTATACTATTTGGACCAAGGGCTATGCCGCAACGTAATTTGCGTACGGCTGCGGATAGTAGTTCCGGCAGCGTGAAGTTGTGCGTGCCAATCGGCAGCACATCTCCAACCAGCTCGCGTGCCGTTGGTTCCCAGTCTGGCAGACGCGATTGCCATTGGACGTCGTCGAAGTCATCAGTCAAGACGTTCGCTCGAACTTTTTCCGTCTGCCAAACTCCCATCCTGCTGCCTGATGGATGCAGGCTGGATGGCTCTGGTTTCTTGAGGTGTCGAACCGTGTCCCAACCGCTCTGCTTGAGCACCCAATCCAACGAATCAGCACGATTGTTCTTTCCAGACTTGCGAACGCGGGCATGCACTTCTTGTTCCGTTTTGTGGTCCCCGCATTTGCGGGCCATTTCGTGTTCATCTATCATATTTTGCGGGCCATATATCGTGGTTCTCTATTCTATCCAGCGTGCGCTTGCTTGTTCTTGCCTGTTTCGCTGAACTTGTTCATGTTGACAAAACACAGGCAGCTGGTTGAAAACTTGTTAGTAAACGTATGTCGGCATTGTTCGCATTATTTGTTTACTCTGGCTGAGCATCGTAAGCATGCAAGACAATTTATATAACGTTCGATCTAGTTGTTGGGTCTTTCGAGCTATTCGTGTCCACATTTGCCATGCGAGGTTGATGTTATTTCTTGAACTCCAAACTCTGTACTCACCACGACATGTTCACCGCGAATAGCGTCGTCTTGGCTAACCCAGATATCGGAAAA